CAATATATCATACATGTAGCAAGTTCATATTTTATATTGTTCCAAAACAAAGTTCGTGTTTACCATTTACATAATCAAATTATATATTGCCTTTTTTTTTTATACATTTTCATTAGTTATTTGATAAAAGAAAATAATCAGTCACTTCTTTCTTGTAGAATTTTATGCACATACAGTACTTTTTTATTTTTAATTCTGCTCAAATTATTAAATATATATTTAATAAAATTATAATTTCATTAAATATATAAGGCCGGAAGGTGTGCACTCGATCACACAGGCCCCAAATCTATAAGGCCCAATATTTTTAGATGTTTGTTTTTTTTGGCTAAAGATGTTTGTTGTTCTAGGTAGTTATTTGATATTTTTAAAATTTATTTTTAAAATGCATAAATATGTATTTTAATAGATAAATTGATATAATAGTGATCATTAAAATCTACTCCGTAATTAACACAAGTTTTAAAACACAAGTACTGAAGTACTCCGCACAGAGCCCAAAACATATTTTTGATTTTTGAACAGAACCTTTGCTATTTTTTTTTTCTCATTTTCGGGTCACTTGAAAACTTTATTTTGGGACGAAAAGAGACACCACATGGCTTTAATATAGAGCCAGCCTCTTTGTATGGCTTATTTTATACCTCTTTTATTTGCATAAATTTCAATCGTACTGTTTTTTAATAAGTGTAGGACTAAAATATAATGATTTTTTCGGACCATATGTTTTTATTTCCCAATGTAGGACCATTGGTCATTATCTATTAGTCATTATTCAACTAAATATCCAACATCACACAGACAATATTCTTCTCACTAGTCATTATTAAGTCCTATTTAGCGAATAAAAAAGTTTAAGTCATACAGGGAAATGAGTTATGTTTTAGTCCTATTAAGTGCAAATTTCACTTTTAATAATGGTGCCCTGAAATTTATAAAAAAAAAATAAAAATAAATGTTGGGCCTTATTTGTTGTTTGGCTGGTATTTTTCAGATAGCAGTTGCCGCAAGCCATGCAGCTCTTTCTTCTTCATCGTCGCCTATAGTGAGTTATTGGAATTCTGAACTCCCAAACACTCCCATGCCCCAAGCAATCGAGAACTCACTCTCCCAAACACCAACTGGTTAGTCTCCTTTCTTTTTTCCTTGACAAACATATAAATAACTTAAACTGTTCTGTTTATACCATGTCAGAAAACTAATTCAACCAAAAATTTAAGCTTGTAGCGGTAGATTTAGAATAAGTTTTATACTGTTTTTTTTTGAAAAATAACGCAAATTTTATTCTTGTTGCACGTTAAGTTACATTCTTATTTTTATTTTTATTGTGTTGTATGTAGAGTGGCTGGAGGAGAAAGGAACATCTGTGGCAGTTGGCAAGGGAGGAGTAAACGTCAACACCGGCAAAGGGAAGCCGGCCGGCGGCGGCACGACCGTGAACGTTGGAAAGGGTGGCGTCGGCGTCAACACCGGAGCTAAGCCCGGCCAAGGGACCAACGTCGGTGTCGGAAAAGGCGGCGTCAACGTCCACGCCGGCACAAAATCCGGCCAAGGCACAAACGTGGGCGTCGGTAAAGGCGGCGTCAGCGTCAATGCCGGCGGAAAGTCCGGCCAAGGTACAAACGTCGGCGTCGGTAAAGGTGGAGTCAGCGTCCACACCGGCAAGGGAACAAACGTCGCTGTGGGAAAAGGCGGCGTCAACGTTCACGCCGGAAAGGGAACAAATGTCGGTGTGGGAAAAGGCGGCGTCTCCGTCGGAACCGGCGGGAAACACGGGAAACCAGCCGGAGTAAGAGTCGGAGAAGGCAGCCCGTTCGCCTACAACTATGCCGCTAGCGCGGACCAGCTCAACGACGACCCCAATGTCGCCGTCTTCTTCAAGCCCTCCGCCCTACGCAACGGGGCCCGAATGACCTTACACTTCACGAAAACTACGAACGACGCCGTTTTCTTGCCCCGATCTCTCTCGGAGAAAATCCCCTTCTCCTCTGAGAAGATCCCCGAAATCCTCCGCCGCTTCTCCGTCCAACCCGACTCCGACGAAGCTCGATCAATGACTCAAACCATCAAAGAATGCGAAGACCCGACAGTCAAAGGGGAAGAGAAAAAATGTGTCACATCCCTGGAATCTATGGTTGACTTTTCGAAGTCAACCCTAATCCCAGGGAACAAGAACAGAATGACATTAACCACCCTCCGCGCAGTTTCCACAGAATCTGCCGGAGAAGCATCATCCGTCCGTCAGACATACGTCGTTTCCGGCGTGCATAAGATAATGCACGTCGGAAACGGGCTGATGGCATGCCACAAGCTGAAGTACGGGTACGCAGTTTTCAACTGTCACAAGACGACAACGACGGAGGCTTTCACGGTCTCTCTGGTGGGAGAGAACGGGGCTAAGGTGGAGGCGGCGGCGATTTGCCACAAGGACACGGCGGCTTGGAACCCGAACCATATGGCGTTTCGGGCTCTTAAAGTCCGGCCCGGAACCGTCCCGGTGTGCCATTTCCTCCCGGAAGATCACATTGTTTGGGTTGCTACTAATTAATTAATACTAATAAAGCTTTGTGTGTGTTTCCTTGATTAATTAAGGTACCCTTTGAATTATCATTTATGATTCAATCGGGATACATATATATGTGTAGTGTTTTTCCTTCATATAAACCGTACTTTACGTTTGTTTGTAGCAGCAGCAGGCTTGTTAGCCGCTATATATTTGTATGTTTAATAATATGAATGTATGTTTATTATAAAGAAAAATATACTCCCTAAAATACCTTTCCATATGTTATTTTTGATATTTTGCATTGGTTCCTTACCGATGTAAAAAGTAGACATGTAACTGGTTTAAATATTTTTTACATCAGTTGTTTAATCGATGCAAATGACCCTTCATGTGCTCTGGTAAGGCTTTTGCATCAGTTTTTCTGAAATAACCGATGCGAAACAACTTCCTGCTAATTCGGAAAGCCTTTTGAATCGGTTATTCTGAAATAACAGAAGCAAAAGGTGCCATCTAAAATTGGCGCCAGTTCTAAGAAGGTTTTTTTGCATCGGTTATTCTGGATAAATCGATGCAGAAGGTGCTACCCAGAATTGGCGCCAGTTCTGGGTAGCATATTTTGCATCGGTTGTTTTAGAATAACCGATGCAAATGACATTCTTTATTACAAAGCAGTAGAACAAGAGAGAACAAAGCAGAACGGAACTGAACAAAACAACATTAGAGATTAGCAATGTTTTTAACAAAGTGCACCACAACATAATAACTAAACAATATATTCAATTCAACGAAACAATCACGCGATTCAATGCATAAACTTTAATTACATATACAATGATTTTACATACAAATATTTGCACTAAATAACACTAAAACTTAAGTCATTTCTTTAAATAGCACTTAAACTATTTTATTCTCTAAATAGCACTTAATAATGTCCAGTAATATATGGCAAATATTTATTTGAATAATGACTAAAAGTGTTACATTGGGAAGAAAAACACATGTGATGCGCTATAAGCTAATCCAATAACAAAAGTAATGCGACTTATAATTTTTTTGAGAAAACTTATAAAGTTACTAATAATAAATTTATAGTTTATTTATAATATTAAACAAAACTCATCAACAATGGAGTCATATGAATGAAACTTATCTTAAACAATATCATCAAGAAAACCACTGACAAGAATTCTCTAATCTCGTCAAGTTGATCGTACGTATATATACAACATTGTAGAGTCAAATCCCTTCAACAACAACAAGAACAACTACAAAAACTAAAAAACTCAATTCAGCTTATAGTTCACAATAACCAAAACACTTGCAATAAAACAAACATTTTAACTAATCTTACAAACATAAATCTAAAAAATTAGAGCCAACGGTTTTACTCTATATCATTAGACAAAATATGTTAGCTACACTACATAATTTGTGCATGTAAAACAAAATCTTATGCACCTACGTGATCAAGTTTTGGAAATGGGCGTCAACGCTCCCTCTCTTTTTAATTTTTTACTTTTTTCTTTTCTTTTTTCCATAAAGAGAAAAATATTTGTATGTGAAATAATGAAAATTTATTTTTTCAAACCTACATTTTTAAAAAAGTTTTAAGAAATAAAAAAATGTTTGTGTGTGAAAATAAACTAATAAAGACATCTTTTTGACAAAAAATGAAGATATTTAATTTGAGATAAATGAAGTGTACGTTAATTCTTATTATTTAATTGATTTTTATTGCGTACACAAAAAATTGATAATTAAAACATTATAAAAATAATTTTAAAAAAGGAACTAAAAAACATTTATAAAAAAAAGTAGTAGAAAAAAGAAAACTAATAGAGAAAAGAGGGGGGGGGGAGGGGGTTGTGTTTCTTTTCAAAACCATATGAGGGAGTGAAAATATTCACATAATATTTGAAGGATATTTTACTCTAAAGGACATTGACGTAACAATATTAGAATCATGAGTGTTAATTTTCAAAATCATATAGGGCAATAGAGGTATTTACATAATATTTGAATGGTATTTTAGTCTATAAAGGCATGAGAGGTAGCCATAAGTTTTGAAACTATAAGAGTAATGGAGCAGTGGAGCACATTTACCAAAGAAAAATGCTAGGGGTACACTTTAATACCAAAAGTGTACCCCAAATGTACACCACCCCCTCCAATATCACATATATTGGCAAATAAATTAAATAAGAAATAAATAAATAAAAATGACTTGTAGAAAAATGGATGGTGTATATTCCGATACACTTTTGGTGTACCACTAGCATCCATCTTTATCAAATTAAAACTGGCTTCATTGGAAAATACTCCCTCCGTTCTCAAAAACATTTTCTCTTTAATTTTTTCCACTTCCAACAAAACACTTTCCCATTCTATTAAAAAACCACTTTTACCCTTACTTTTTCATACCCTACCTATCACATCATACTTTTTCTCTAATAATCTATCTATTAATCTTACTTTAACTCATCACATCAGGGTAAAATTGAAAATCAACTATAATTTAACACTTCCTTATTTTTACCCCAAATCAAAATCAGAAGTCTTTTTGCAAATTTTTTTCCTCCGTACTTTTAAGCCCTTGGCAGGGGTCGTTCTTCGCTCTGTTGTTGTTTTCCTCCTTTCCGCGGGTCGGACTCCAGGATCGCAGTTCAAGGCATCTCTCTCCGGTGAGTTCAAGATCTCTTTTTGTGATTTTCTTCAGTGAGGTTTGGGGAAGAATCTAGGTTTCAATTTTGTGGATTGGGCTGTTCTGATCCGCCTATTTATGTGCCATTCTTCTCAGTTGGATTTAAGTTCTTATTGATCTGCAAAGGAGTAACAATTCTATCTCAATTCTTGTTTTACTTCTAAATCACAATGACTGTTGATGTTATCGGTGTGTTTTCCTAGGCGAGTTTGCAGATTAGGGTTCTGGGCATTTGTTTTAAACTGTATTGGACAATAAATCTTAGGCAGGAGACATTTACACTGTGTTTGGTTTGTGGATTTCAGCAGGGAAAGGAAAAGAAAATAATAGAACACCACGGAAAACCAAATTTCTTCCATTTTGATAGAAGAAAACGAGAAAAAACTATTTTCTTTTCCTTCCAAATTCCTTGAACCAAACACAGTGTTAGGTTTATTTGAGCTTCTAAAGCAAGACTGGTCAGAGTTTATTCCATGAAGGGCTTTGTTAAGAGATTTTGCCCCCAATGTGGGGCAAAAATCGTTCTGATAACAAAGTGGCTCAAGGGTTTTATCCGCTATGTCAATCTCATAGTATGTGTCTTTGAAAATAAATCATTGCTCTTTAGAGCAGTAACCATTAATTAATACTGACTTTCTTTCTATTAGCAGCTTGGTACTCTCAAACTTGTAACTAATTTCAACCTCTAAATGAGGACAGAGATTCATGGGGCAGAAAGACTCAAGGATACCAGAAAACTTACAATCCCTATAACACATATCTCCAACTCATCGAATCATTAACACTATGTTTGGTTCAAGGAATTCAAAAGAGAAAAGAAAAGAAAATGGAGTGGAAAACAAGTTTTCTTGTTTGGTTAGAAAGGAAAACTGGAAAAAAAAGAGAATGAGAAGGCAAAATGTACCAAATGGAAGGAAAACCAAATTCCTCCCATTTTGGAGAGGAAAATGAGAGAAAACCATTTTCTTTTCTTTTCCTTCAAAATTCCTTGAACCAAACATAGTGTAAGAGTAATCAGTACCTCTCATTCAGTGTCATACAACATGAATCCAACTCTAATTTAAACTTTAATTTTTCAAATATTTTCGCGTGTTTCACTTTCCTACACAATAAAAAACTAAAATAACTTTGTTACTAATTTACTATTCTCAATCTCCGAAGGATTAAAAAACACAACCCAAAAATTCAAAAAATATATTAATAAAATGTATGTTAAGACATAAACACATTTCACAGTAACTTACCTTTTAGGCATTGTATATTAACAGGGGATGTCAACAGAAGGACGAGGAAGATTATGGTGACATCCCCTGTTAATATACAATGCTTAACAGGATTAAAAAACACAGCCCAAAAAATTCAAAAAAATATTAATAAAATGTATGTTAGGACATAAACGAATTCCACAGTGACTTAAATTTTAGGCATTGTATATTAACGGGGGATGTGAGCAGAAGAACAAGGAGATATGGATTAGAATATTGAGCGCTTGGCTTTGGCTTCAGGTTAAATAGAAAGTGCGAGAGAACGCACTTCCTCTTTCCGTTTAACCAGAAAGCCAAAGTCAAGCGCTCAATTTTCTAGCCCTAATCTTCCTCGCTCTTATGCTGACATCCCCTGTTAATATACAATGCTTAAAAGGTAAGTCACTGTGGAATGTGTTTATGTCTTAACATATACTCCCTCCGTCCCATTAAGTGTTACACATTTTGACTTTTAAGCAAAATAAGAAAAGCATATTTTCCATCGACCTCCCCATATTACCCCTTACCCTAATGTAAAAGTAGGAATACAATTAACTCCATGAATAGTGTAAAGCAAGATATTATAGCAAGTGAAGTACACATACTAGTATAATAGTGGGTGGGGTTTAATTTGAGGGTTGGGTAGATATTAGGTTTAAGGGTAGAAATGTCCTTTTTAGGAAAAAGTGTAGTTCTTTATGGGACAAAAAATTATGAAACGTGTAAATCTTTTTGAGTTGTGTTTTTTGATACTTGGGTATTTGAGAATGGTAATAGAGTTGCTTCAAATTAGAGTTGGATTCAAGTTGTATGACACTGAATGAGAAGTACTCCTTATTGATTCAATGGGTTTGAAATATGTGTTTTAAGGGTTGTAAGTTTTCTGATATCCCTGAGGTCTTTTGCCCCGTGAATCTCTGTCCTCTTTTAGAAGTTGAAATTAGTAACAAGTTTTAGAGTATCAAACTCATAATAGAAGGAAAGTCGGCATATATTATTGGTTACCCTTGTTAAGGGCAGTGGTTTATTTTCAAGGACATAGACTTTGAGATTGACATTTTGGCCTAAATCTCTTAACGAAGCCCTTCATGGATTGAACTCTGCCCAGTACCTTGCCTTAGAAAAAATCATTGCGAGATTTACAACCTCAAGAGTCTTGACTCCCTAGACCCGAATATAGTTGTGATTATACTGGGATTGTTGTTGCTTGCCAGGCTTATCTGGTTTGTTCTGATTATTTTCCTTAGCAAATTTTGACATCAGTGACACTTGATTTTCTCAAATCTTATTTGCAGGCTAGATTAACACCGTTGTTAGAACAAGCTAGAGTGACATATCTTGACTTAAACATCTGTTGTGTGCATGGATCCCTTCCATGTAGCAGATGTTCCCTCAAACCAGGAAGCTGTTGTAAGGTCATCGGAGCCGAACACTTCTCCTCACGTGGCCCGGGCGAAGAAGCTCTTACATAGAAGAATTCTGGTTGGCGTTAACGACGGCCGCTTCTTTGCTGGCTCCTTCTACTGCATCGATAAGCAAGGAAACATCATCCTTCAAGACACTGTTGAGTACCGCAGCACGCGGCGAGACTCTTCTCCTTCATCCCCTATGGAGCAGCGATGTCTCGGTCTCATTCTCATCCCTTTCTCGTGCCGCACTTCGTGCCACGTGGACTGCTCCGTTGAAGAACAGTTGTCTCTCATGTCCTTGTATGAGGTTAGTTCGAAACCGTGACCACTCGTAACGCCGCTTCTTTTAGATTTAATCAGGGTTGTTCACATATAACCGAATGGGTAATGAGTCAATGTTCGGGTCGGTGAGTTTGGAGTCAGTTAGTGTGTTTTACATATTTAGTTAACTTAAAAAAGAACATTTGGGTAGTTTCTCAAAGCAGTCATTGGTAGTTTCTAATGATAATAGGTGTGTTGGTTTGTAAAAATTCTGCCAGTTTGTTCTCTGTTTAGAAATTGAATATTCATAGTTTTCTACATCAAAAATCGGTTTCTCCAATCTTTGTTTAGAAATTGAATATTCATACATCAAAAATCGGTTCCTCCAATCTTTTTTTTAATTAAGTAATGTATATGTGGTTGATTCAAGCAATCATGTTTTTTTTCAACATGAAAAACAACCTTTAGTTCTTAAAAAGATAGAAAGTGAATTTTTTTTACTTTCATAAGATGGTAAAACTGTTAAACTGTAAAATCCTAACAAAGATCTTATACTTGCTCAAGTTTCATATTTTGTCCAAACAATATTCCATGAATTTTTGGATTTACTTACTATTTCAAATTGAGCTTTTCATTTACTGTCTTGACAAAGTTTGAAGGAATAAAAATTTATAGTAGGAGATCTAATGTAAACTATTCAATACTTTAAACCATTGAAAACTTATTTTTACACAAAACATTAAAATAAGTAAATTTTACTTTGAGATAATTGAAGACATGAAGTACTATTTTAGTTTCTTAACTATTTGAGTTCAATTAGGATTTGGGACATAAAAGAATGGTACATATTTGTTCTCCTAGTTTCTTTCTTAATGCATGCAAAGCCAAGTAAATAATAGCATTTGAATTATTAATAGCACATTGATCATTATAATAGAGAAATGAGCATTTGAATTAATAAAGTTAATTTTTTCACGTATATATTTCACTAAAAATATATGAGCTCGTACAGCACATAGGATAAAAACTAGTGCTCTATTATTTTTCGAAAAATGCTAGGGGTACACCAAATGTGTACCCCATTTGTCCCCCACCCCCTCCTTGTCCACAAAAAAAGGCAAGAAATTTTTTTAAAAAAAATAAACAAAAATAAAATAAAAATGAGTGGTGAAGAAGGGGGTGGTGTACATTTGGGGTACACCTTTGGTGTACCCCTAGCATTGCTCTTATTTTTCACTTATGCTCCCCCTATCTCCGAACACTTGTTGTTTGACTTTTTTAGTCAAATAGTAACACTCTTTAAGCACATAACCTAAATAAATCATTGCTATAAAAATTTTATATATTAAAACTATACGCTAAGATGAACACAATTATATTGAATTTATATTATGATTCAATATATTTTTTCTCACAATTTGTAGTCAAAGATTGTCACTGTTTGACTAAAAACGTTTAGACAAGAGGAGTTTTCAAGAACGGATGGAGTATATTTTAGTTTGAATCATATTCATCGCTGTTGTATTGTTCGTTAAACCAACACCAGAAGGTCGAGCAAAAGATTATCCGTCGAAAGGTACTCATTAATAAAAAATTATGAACATAATACTCCGCAATTGATATTAGAGGATTAGATATTGAAAAACACTCTTTAAATAACAAATTAAATCATTTATTCTAAAAAATAATAATTTAAAACGAGAGTAATAATGCTTAGAAATGATAAAAATCTCACAACAATTTTGGTTTGGATAATAAAGCAAAACCTTAATTTGGGTTGTAATATAAAAAAATTAACCAATTTAAAATGTGAGTCCCAATCTTAAGAGAGAAATGAAATTGAAGAATAATATTTCAAATTATACAATTTGATTATTCTCCAAAATATGGGACACAATTCCATGATCATATGGTTAGACAAATAACTTAACCAAATTACAACTCCTGCGCATTTGCCAGCAAATATTAAGAAGAAGAAACGCGCTTATAATTACGGTGTGGGAATGTTTGGATCAGATTTAATAAAAGGGTTGTGTTGCCTGACTTGGATTCATTATTCATATGCCCAGTATTACTACTTCCGTCCCAAAATATTAATCTAGTTTTAACTTTTTTCAATGAATTGTTTTAACCTTTGACCCATAATAATTAAAATATTTCCTCCGTCCCCCTAAGATATTTTCGTTTTGATTTTTTGTGATTTTAAAGAGAGTTGAAAAAAGTAAAAGTTTACCAAAATACCCTTAATGAATATCGATGGAGTGTATTAAACGAGGTAAGTCAGATGAATAAATGGGGTAGTTGTGGTATTTTAAATGTTAAAAAAAAGTAATGGGAAGATGTATGAGGAAGAAATAAAAATGACTAATAGGAAAATCTATGAGGGATGGAGGAAGTATATATTTTAAATAAATTAAATAAAATAATATTTTGAAAAAATTTAAATAATAAATCTAATAAAACTAGTTATGTGTCAATATCTAATATTATTTTTATTTAATTTAAGGTAAAAAATTATCAATTTTGACTGAATAAGTCAAAAATAGACAAATATTCAAGGGTGAAGAGAGTACATATTTTGGCTCAATATCTCTATGCCAGAAGAAGTGAAGTTTCTTATCACCATCAACCAATAAAGACTTTCTTGTCTAGTACCATCATTGTGACTTTCCGAAATGAGAAATAAGAGGTTCGAACCCTTGCGGAGGTGAGAATGTATGAAGAGACACTACTCCCTCTATCGTAATTTAAATTACCTGTTTCGGTTTATGATCTTAATCAAAATTATTTTCAATTCATTTAATATAAAAACTGGTATAAAATTTTAAAATAAGATTTTCATATTTCAAAACTAAATAAAAAATTCTATAAAAAGAGATGACATTATTATATTATTTTATTAAATGAATACCTAAAATGAAAAATTGAAGTGGTTTCACTTTGACCTTGTAAGTAATAAACCGACAACTTAAATTATATCAGAGTCAATTACTAGGGTTAAAATTTTAAAAAATACTCTCTTTGTCCCAAAAAAAGTCACATAAAGTTGTTCATGAGGTTTAACTAAAGTTATTTTCAATTTAATTTATTTAAAAATTGATAAGGAATTAAAAACTAAAATTTATATATTTAAAAACTACATTAAAAATTTTATAAAATAAGATGTGACAAAACTAAATTGTTTTTCTCAAGTGAGTCAAGAACGTGGTTAAAATTTAACATTGTGAATAGTGAACACTAAACAGATAGCTTAAATTGGGACGAATGGAGTAAGTATTTGTAAATATGTACCGTAGAAGAGGGGATAAAAAGAAGTTTAGTTGAGACCCCATATTTGCTCAGCTTAGAAATGAAGGGGAGAGTAGTGTGGTTGGGTGGACCAAGTGTGGGTTTTAGAAAGTATAAGGGTATATTGGACAATTTACACACAAATTTACGAAATAAAGAAATGGGAAGAAAATTTTTTGGCTATCCAATGGGAAGAAAAAAATGAACAGGAGTATTTATTATAACTCGCCGTTGAAAAATGATTGTACAATAATCATATATCTATATGGTCTGTATACCAAGTCATATAATCCTTCTTTTGGTCAGTATATAAATCAGCAATAGCAACCCAAGCCATCTCATGAATTAGGGTTATTCACATATAACCGAATGAGTAATGAGTTAATGTTCAGGTCAGTGAGTATGGAGTCGGTTAGTGTGTTTTACATATTTACTTAACTTAAAAAAACATGTGGGTAGTTTCACAAAGCAGTCATTGGTAATTTCTAATGACAATAGGTGTGCTCGTTTGTAATAGGTGGGTTGGTTTGTAAAAGTTGTGCCCGTTTGTTTTCTATTTTGAAATTGAGTATTCATAGTCTTATACATCAAATATCGGTTTCTCCATTTTTTTTTAAAAAAATAGTAATGTATATGTGGTTGATTCAAGCAATCATGTTTTTTTTCAACATGAAAAACAACCTTTAGTTCTTAAAAAGATAGAAAGTGAATTTTTTTTACTTTCATAAGATGGTAAAACTGTTAAACTGTAAAATCCTAACAAAGATCTTATACTTGCTCAAGTTTCATATTTTGTCCAAACAATGTTCCATGAATTCATGGATTCGCCATACTATTTCAAATTGAGATTTTCATTTATTGTCTTGACAAAGTTTGAAGAAGTAAAAATTTATAGTATGAGATCTAATGTAAAATATTCAATACTTTAAACAATTGAAAACTTATTTTTTGACAAAACATTAAAATAAGTAAATTTTACTTTGAGATAATTGAAGACATGAAGTACTATTTTAGTTTCTTAATTATTTGAGTTCAATTAGGATTTGGGACATAAAAGAATGGTACATATTTGTTCTCCTAGTTTCTTTCTTAATGCATGCAAAGCCAAGTAAATAATAGCATTTGAATTATTAATAGCACATTGATCATTATAATAGAAAAATGAGCATTTGAATTAATAAAATTACTTTTTCACGTATATATTTCACTCAATATATATGAGCTCGTACAACACATAGGATAAAAACTAGCGCTCTATTATTTTCACTTATACTCCCTCCATCTCTGAAGATTTCATGTTCTGACTTTTTTAGTCAAAGAGTAACACTCTTTAACAATGAATTAAACATAATCTAGATAAATCAATGCTATAAAAATTTGATATATTAAAACTATATGCTAAGATGACACAATTATATTGAATTTATATTATAATTTAATATTTTTTTTCAAAATTTGTACTAAAAAAATGTTACTGTTTGACTTAAAAAATCAACACAAGAAGAGTTTTCAAGAATGGATGGAGTATATTTTAGTTTGAATCATATTCATCATTGTTGTATTGTTCGTTAAACCAACACCAGAATATATGGTTATGGTTGATGTGAAAAAATGTTTAACGCTTAATTTAATACAAATAAAACAGAAGGTCGAACAAAAGATTATCCGTCGAAAGGTACTCATTAATAAAAAAAAGTATGAACATAATACTCTGCGTTTGATATTAGAGGATCAGATATTGAAAAATACTCGTTTTAAATAAGAAATTAAATCATTTATTCTAAAAAATAATTTAAAACGAGAGTAATAATGCTTAGAAATGATAAAAATCTCACAACAAGCTTGGTTTGAACCGGATTAGGTGAACAAAACAAAACCTTAATTTGGATTGTAATAAAAAAAATTAACCCACCAATTTAAAAT